ATTGACCATCACACCCTTGCACAAGATGGCCACCCCCATGTGGTCACAAGATGGCCACCACAAGATGGCCAGCAGGGGAGGGCAGTTGTGGGCAATCAGGCCTGCAGGGGAGGACAGTTAGGGGTGACCAGGCCTGCAGGGGAGGGCAGTTAGGTTGACCAGGCTGGCAGCAGGGGGGAGTTGGGGGCGACTAGGTTGGCAGGGAGGCAGTTAGGGGGGATCAGGCCGGCAGAGGGGGGAAGTTAGGGGCGACCAGGCAGGCAGGCAGGTGAGCAATTAGGAGCCAGAGGTCCAGGATTGTGAGAGAAATGTCAGACTGCCGGTTAAGGCCCGATCCCCCAAGGGGTGCTGGATTGGAGAGGGTGCAAGCCGAGCTGAGGGGATCCCCCACCCCATGCATGAATTTTGGGCACCAGGCCTCTAGTTAGTCAATAAAAAAGAATGAAGTATTGATAGATGGTACAACATGGGTGAACTTTGAAAACATTATGCTAAGTAAAAGAAGCCAGACAGAAAGGCCACACTATTATATGACTCCACCTGCATGAAATATCCGGAATAGGCAAATCCATAGAGACAGAAAATTGATTCAGGTTGCCAGGGGCTGGGGAGAGGGCAGAAAGGATGAGTGACTGCTAATGGGTATGGGGTTTCTTTTGGGGATGATGAAGTACTCTGGAATTAGATAGTGGTGATAATTTGTACAATTTTGTGACTCTGTACACATTAAAATTTTATGGCATGTAAATTATATCTTAAATTAAAAAAAGAATATAATCACAACTAAGTGTAATAGGAACAACAGACCACTGGCTAATTGGTCCTGCCGTTTTACACTGTATCGTTAGTGGGGTATTAGAGATCTTTGGGGGGGTACTGTCCTCCTTTAATAACCACAGCCTCCTAAGCAGAAAAAAACAAACAGGTAGAGGGGAGTGAGGGCGAGCTTGGAAACTGAGGAGCATCAAAGTGTCTGCGCAGGTGGTATCACACACGCGGTTGGACTTTTTATCTGCCAGATTTGTTTAGTTAGCCTATTTTGACAACAGTTGAGAAGACAAGTTCCTTAAAGCCCATCTCATCTCCAGGAGGTTTCAATTCCAACTATTGGTTATGCTATGTACTTGGCAGAGAGTTCTCCTTTTATTTAAATAACATCAGATTCAACTAAGTTTAGTGGAAATATAAAACAATAAGCACTGAATTATAGCATTTTATACCTGAAAAGGACTTTGGACAGAGATCATCTGGTCTGATTCTCTTACTTTGGTTATAGGATAAGTGAGGCCCAAATATAGTGTCTTGCTCAAGGTCACATAGCCAAGGATGTTTTGGCTGAGACTGCTAGCTGTCATGCAGTATCTGTCCTCCCCTAATTCTCTGAAAAGACTCACCACCCCTGGAACTGTGCACATGATTAGCTGAAATAAAGGTTATGTTTCCTAGTGAGATGTGATTGTATAACTATGTTCTGGCCAATTGAAGGTAAATGGAAGTATCCTTAAAGGTTAGGGTCGGCACGGGGGCATGCCCTCCTCCTTCTTGCTGGCTTCTTGGTTGTGAGTTAGATAGCTAGAGTTCAAGCAGCCATCCTGGACCAGGAGGTGGAAGCTGCATTTGGAGGAGAGGGGAGTAATAACATAAAATTCTGGGTCATCGACCTCAAGGAGGTCACAGTGTGATAGGTATATAAGATAGGTATATAAGCTAATGTACAATCTACGCAACCACGAGGCCAAATCAGCTGCCCTGTCCTGCTCCAATGCCTTCGTATCTTGGAGTATGCATTATGGAATTGTCATGCCAGCCTTGGAATGCTCATCTCCAGACCTTATGTGAAAGAGAAAGAAACTTCTAATTTTTTAGTCACTGTTATTTCAGTCTTCTGTCCTTTACATTGAATTGAATTCTACCTGATTCAGAATGGAAACAATTACATTCTGGGGTGGAAACTCAGGTCTCTGAATCCAAGTATAGGCCTATTTATTATGAAGATTATTACTATCCTAGATAATAAAAGGGTAATATGCAAATAGTCCGTACAGCAAAACAACTGAACAAACAATAAAAGTGTAATATGCTAATGATATGCTAAGGCTGCTCAACCGCTTGCTATGACGTGCACTGACCACCAGGGGGGAAGATGCTCCAACCGGTAGGTTAGCTTGCTGCTGGGGTCCGGCTGATTGGGACTGAGTGAGATGGGCTGGACATGCCCTGGAGCCCTCTCATAGTCCCTCCCTGGGGTCCTCCCGAGCCCTGATTGTGCACCAGTGGGGTCCCTCGGCCTGGCCTGTGCCCTCTCACAATCCGGGCTGAGGAACCTGCCCTCTCCCCCATCTAGTGCACGATTTCATGCACTGGGCCTCTAGTCGCTAATAATAAGTGTAATATGCTAATTAGACTGGACAGCCGAACATCGGAATGACCGTCCGGACGACCTTCCGGATGACCTTCTGGACAAAGATGGGGCTGTGAGGGCTGAGCCCCTTGCACGAATTTTATGCATTGGGCCTCTAGTTAATGATAAAAGCCCAACTCTGCTAAGTATCTTGTGTATAGTAATTTTTGAGTGCTCACTATATCACAGTCACTATTTAAGTACTTTATTAGTGTCATTAACTCATTTAATTCTCATGTCAAGATATTTCTATTACCATCATTTCCACTTTACAGACAGAGCCACAGAGATTTGAATAACTTACCCAAGGGCACATTTATTTCAGTAAGAGGTAGGGCTCAGGTTTGAGCCCAGGCAGTCTGGTTCCACTGCCTGCGCTCTTAGCTCCTACATTATACTCTCTCTTATGATGTGAGCTCCTCGTTATCCTCTATACCCATTTTATCAAGGAGGAAACTGAAGCAGACAATTGTCTAATTATTTACTTAAAATGTCTCTGCTAGTCAGTGGTGCAGACAACATCAGAAGCCAGACTCCAGTTCAATGCTCTCTCCCCAGACCACCCCGCAGTCTCAGAGGCCACCTGGACAGATACATAATCCCCCACCTCCACTCCAGTCTTACACACACACACCACCACCACCACCACCACCACCACCAACACCAACACCACAAACATCACTACCTTCAAGCAGGCACTCAGACATTTTTGTGGCCAGGATGGCTACAACCTCCTTTGAAAAGCATCCAGCTTTACCCTTCACCAAATAACTGTATTTATAGACTCCAGCTCAGAGCTTTTGAACTGGCTGCTCATTCCAGGGAAGATCTTGATAACAACTGTTCCTTGGAGAAGGTTCATAGGAAACAAGGTAAATAAACACCACAGAGGCCCTGTCGGTCTGGCAGAGCTTTGCTCCTGGGGGTGTTTATAAGTCGGTGTTGGTGTCTGGGTGCAAAAGACTTTGAATTCAAAATGGCAGTCTGGAAGATTTTCAATGTTTGTGTTTTAATTTTAAAAAAGTTCACCTTTTTGCCATCAACAACCTCAGGGCATAGGCATCAGAGAGAAATGATCTTTATCCAGAATGTAAATCCAAAAGAAGGAGTTTTTGCTTTCTTTGCTTCCTGCCTGGCTGGGGCCTAGGACCAGTTACTGTAGTGACTGTGAGGCGGGAGAGACACTGAATTTATAAAAGCTAAATTGCAGAAGGAATAAAGGGCATTTCAGAACAGAAAATTGTTGAAAGAAAGGCCTGATTTCAAAAGTGAACTATGAACATACTGTGTCTTCTGACTTATGGCCAAAGGTGTCATCATTCTAAGCATAATTATGTCACATGTGTCAGGACTTATTCAGCCAGGATGCCAATTTCTTCTGAACCTGTGCTAGTTATGTAACCGTGAGCAAACGCCTCAGTTTCCTCTTTGTGAAATGGGCTTTAAACTCCCAAGATTATTGTGAGGATTGGTGCAAACCGTGTGGGGGAAATGTGCCTGGTTCAGGGAGAACATGGACTCACCCACTCATTGAACAGTAGCTAATGGTAGCTGTCATGATTGCTTCCTTTGAGATTCCTCCAGGCCTGGAGGAGATGCTATTGGGGTGCTCATGAAAGTGAGCCCCAAGGGGAAGCAGGAGTAGGTAGCAGGTTGGTGATCTTCACTCTTAAATACCTTCATTTTGCATTGAGCTAATCTTTATCAGGGACTGTTATGATGACATGAGTTTTCTGTATAGGAGCCCCTGAAATGTCTGATAAAGGGAGACTAAAGCCCTCAAGGGTAAGGCAGAGCAGAACCACTGAATAGGTCCTATGAACCCCCAGGTGGCTTTCCAATGGGTATGTGAGGTCTCCTTCAAGGTCTAGCAGTCGTTCTCAACCTGTGGGTCGCGAACAATGAAAATACATCTTGCCTATCAGATATTTACATTACGGTTCATAACAGTAGCAACATTACAGTTATGAAGTAGCAACGAAACTAATTTTATGGTTGGGGGTCACCACAACATGAGGAACTGTATGAAAGGGTCGCGGCATTAGGAAGGTTGAGAACCACTGGCTAAAGGGTGAGGAAGGGGCCACCTTCAAGGACCATGTTGGGGAGGGAAGTGGATGGTGTGATAGAAAAGAGAGCCTGTGGCTCCCTTAAGGAACTTACTGGAAGGTAAAGGATTATCTAAGAGAAAACTTGTGTTTTCATGGAGGCCTGAGTGGGAGACAGATCTCTCTACACCAGAGCTTCTGGTGGGAGAACTCCGTAAGAGAGGAATGGGCGAGGGTTTCTTCAGGGGAGCGTGGGGTCTCTATGAGGCGGGGGCCTTCCCAAGGGGGTTGCAGGTAGCGATTTCGATAGGAGATCAGTGGCATGGAGCTCTGCAAGGGCCTGTGCCAGGGCGGTCTGATAGACAAGCCCTGAGAGTCAGTGGGCGGAAGTGCGGTCCCCACCCACCCTCAGGCGGCCCCTCCTCCAGGGAG